ACCCTAAACCCCACACCCCAAAACCTAAACCCTAAACCCTAAACCCTCAACCCTGAACCCTGAACCCTGAACCCTGAACCCTAAACACTAAAACCCTGTGCATCCTCGGCTCCTCAGCTCAGAGAGGCTCTCGGAGACGTTCTCGTAATACACCGTCAGCACGCGAAGGCCGCGGCGCTTTGCCTGGGCTCTTCGTGAGGGTTTAGGATTTATAGGGCTTAGGGTTTAGGATTTTGGGTTTAGGGATTTTTTGGTTTAGGATTTAAAGGGTTTAGGGTTTAGGATTCTGGGTTTAAGGTTTTTTTGGTTCAGGATTTATAGGGTTTAGGAAATTGGGTTTAGAGAGTTTGTGGTTTAGGATTTATAGGGTTTAGGGTTTAGGATTTTGGGTTTAGGGTCTGGGGCTTTTTGGTTTAGGGCATAGGGTTCAGGGCTTAGGGTCTACTCAGGGTTGTGTTCATGAGCCGAAGGGCCACTCTGAACCTCGGAACCCCTGAACCCCTAACCTGAAGTAACCAACAAGCCGCTAATAAGATTCAACCCTAAACCCTAAACCCTAAACCCTAAACCTTAAATAAGATATCTTCCTTCACACAAGATGAGCCCAGTTGCCTCCTTGACCACTCGCTTTGCTTTTTTGACCTTCTCCTGATCAAAGCTCCAGGATGTAGGCTTGGGGCTTAGGGTTTAGGGTTTAGGGTGTAGGGTTTAGGGTTTCTTGGTTTTCCTGATTCAAGATTTTCGAAGGGTTTGAGGACCTCGCATTAAAATTCAAGCCGTCAATGAGGGTTTAGGGTTTAGTCCGAGAGGCGTCCGCAGCACGAACGGCGGACCGAAATGGTACAGAAACCTGAGTTCCGGAGGCTCCTGTACCAACAACAATAAGGAATTGCATTATGAACTGCTCAGGCTCGGACCCCCTATAGTAACCGTATACTGCCCTGTGCAGCACTAGAAAGCCTATAAGCTCCATGACACCCCGTAAAACCTGCTAAACCCAATGAAAGCCTAGTGTAAAACCCTATGAAGCCCCTTGAAACCCTACCGCAAAGCCCTGTAAACCCCAATGAAACTCAGGAAAACACGATGAAACCATACAACGCCCTATAGACCCTACCAAAATCTTATCCGAGAAGGACCCTGCTCTGTTGCTCCAAAAGACCGGTGTCTAAGGTAAGGGTCCCAGTTTAAAGGTCTAGGTCTAGGGTAGGGTTTGCGGGCGGTTACTATAGGGTTGTTATGCTCCGAAACACAGCTCATGTCGACTCTAGAGCCTCGCGGGGAAAGCCCAAACAATCCTGGACCTCCGAAGCTTACCCTAAACCCTAAACCCTAATCCCTAAACCCTAATCCCCAAACCCTGAACCCTAAACCCTAAACCCTAAACCCTAAACCCTAAAACCGTTTCAGCTTGGGTTGTCCATTTTTGGAGCCGACGAGCTGGAACCCCAAACCCCAAACGCAGCCTACCTAGAGACTCCAATACCCCTTAATTACACAATATACCTTGGGTTTAGGGCTTGGGGTTTAGGGTTTAGGGTTTCGGTTTTAGGATTTATGGGTTTGGGGTCTAGGGTGTGGGGGGTTAAATCATATTAGGGATCCTACTATAATTTAAAGTATAGGTAGTTCTCTAAACTAGGGTCCTTTTTGGGTCCCAAATATAGTACGGCACCCTTATAAAGAAGGGCCCTAAATGGGACCCTAATTTTTAAAACTACCCGTATATTCCTCAATCAAGGCGTCTTGGAGATTTTGGGTACGGCAGCGGCCTCTTCCTTCTGAAGCTCCTCCAGGATGGTGGCCTCGTCAAGCTGCACCTCCAGCGCAACGGAAGGCTCAGGGTTTAGGCTTTCGGGTTTTGGGGGTTTAGGGTTTAGGTTTTAGGGTTTAGGGTTTAGGGTTTGGGGTTTCGGCTTTAGGGTTTAGGCTTTCGGGTTTAGGATTTAGGGTTTACAGTCTTTAGGGATTAGGCTTTGGGCTTTAGGGTTTAGGCTTTAGGCTTTAGGGTGAAGCCGAAACACTCACAAAGTATTTAGGGCTTAGGGTGCCCCCGAAGCCCTAAACAATCACTATAGAAAGTCCTAAGCCACGATGCTAAACCCCAAGACCCTCCACCCAGCCCTAATTTGCAAAAACACTCATACTACCCCCGAAGAAGCCCTGAAGAAACTCTTCAACCCATGCAACAGAAACTGACAGACACCCTTATATAACTTTGACCTTAAGTCCGCATAAACTGAGCCCGTAACCCTAAACACGCGAAACCCTGAAACCGCAAAACCCTCCCCAACCCTCAAACCCTCAACCGCAAAGCCGTAAAAGCCAAAAACCCGAAAGAACTGAACCCTTATCTGGGTTGCTGTTACAAGTAAGGAACTTAAACCAAGACACTGCAATAAGAAATCCTCCATATTCACAATATATCCCCCTTTATGGCAACTTAAATTAAGTTCCTAAACCAAATAAGGGCAATAAAAAAAACTCCCCACATTCACAATATCTCCCCCTTTATGGTACGTTAAATTACCTATAGTCTCCATTGTAGTTCCTTTTTGGGGATACTTTATAACATCCTTAATATATAACTGGTTAAACCAAGACAAGGAACTACAATGGAGACTATAGGTAAGGTGTAGACCCTAAACCCTAAACCCTAAACCCTAAACCCTAAACCGTTCGAGTTTCTGAAGTCAGGTAACTTAGACTAAGTTCCTTAGCAGGCCTTCACTGCGCCGACGGTCTTCGCCACGCTCTCCTCAACTGTCCGGTGCTTAGTGGGGAATGGGGGAATGGATCCCCACCAAACTCAGGTTTAGGCTTAGGGCTTAAGGTTTAGGGTTTAGGGTTTAGGGTTTAGGGTTTAGGGTTTAGGGTTTAGGGTTTAGGGTTTAGGGCATCCGTAGACTTCCGAGGTGGGGATGGGGGAATGGATCCCCATGAGAGCCCCTTGAGGTCCCTTATAGTCGTCCCTATAACCCAGTCCCCCCATTCCCAAACCCTAAACCCTAAACCCTAAACCCTAAACCCTAAACCCTAAACTAAGCACCAGACGCTGAAGGTAGGCTGGGGCTTTTGAGTCGGGCACCCAGAGCTCCATGGGTCTGGGGCTTTGGGGCCTTGATAATTAGAATAGGGATCTGGGCTCCTTTATCGTATAGTTATAATGAGGAACCCCCCCCCAA